GCAGGCAATGGTGAACGCCGTGGAGACATAGTAACGGCCCGGCTCGGCAATGATGTCGATACCGTTACCGGCAGGGAAAAACTCGTCCAACGCATCACGAAGAACACTCGACATCTGCTCAAATGTATCTCCACAGAACCCACCACCCACGTCAAGGGTGCGCATGGTAAAGCCAAACTCAGCAGCTTGCTGGAACACGGCGTGGGCATCCCGAACGGCCTTGTAGAAGGCAAGGGGGTCGGAAGCACCAGATCCGACGTGGAAGCTAACACCGACCACGTTAAGCCCTAGGTTCTTGGCGACAGCCAGCAGGCTCTCAGTGGTATCCATGGCAGCACCAAACTTCATGCTGAGGCGGCAAAGGCTAGAGGCATCGTCGGTCATGATGCGCAGGAACAGCTCGGCTTCCGGGTAGAGCTTCGCAATCTTGTACAGTTCGTCGGCGTTGTCAAATGTCATCTGCTTAACCCCCGCATTCTTAACGAAGCGAACGTACGAGTTCGTCTTGCATGGCTGAGCATAGATGATGCGCTCAGGGGTGGTTCCCATAGCTAGCACCTGCTCAATCTCCCCCTTGGAGGCACAGTCAAATCCGGCGCCAAGTTCAGCCAAAAGACGGAGCACCTTGGGGTCCGGGTTGCACTTGACGGCTAGCCTATGTTAGCAACGAGATATACCTGCGAGTAGTCATGTAGGATGAAGGGATACAACTCACCATAAAACGGTTTGATGCGAGGCAGATTCTTCTTCCATCGGAGGTGCTGCCGATAGACCTCGCCAAGGTCAGCGACAAAGAAGGTATCCTCATCGCCAGGTTCGCAGAGCTCATGGTCAACAGACTCCGCACGATTGTGAAGGGCCTCGCCAATTAGCTGCTTTGGGTCAATGAAAACATTGTTATGAAGGTAGTCCGCCAAAAGCGGCTTCTTCATTGACATATGATTATGTGTAACATTTTGATGGTTGTCAAGGATAGCCGTTGCCATAACCATATCCCTAGTGTTAATCCCAGGGGGAAGTTATCCGAGAGTGTTGTTTGTCGCCGGGGAATATGTGTGTCTCGTCTAACTGTCCGTTGACTGGAGTTGACGAGTTGTTTGGGACAGACAACAAGTGCTCAAAGAACCTCAGGGGGGGAAGCCGTCAAAAAGATTGACGGGGTTGCCTGGAATATATAGCTGACGTAGAATAGACTCAAACTCACTAAGTGAGCTAGGGTGGTGTTAAGGGGGTCGGAACGGATAGCAAACTGTTCCTTCAGTGGATTGGCGAGGCCTCCTCGACTCTTCCTCGGTAAGAGGAAGAACCTCAGGGATCCTCCTATGCGGCAGCTGGTACGATTCTGAAGTCAAGATGGGGGGCTGGAACACCGGTTCGCCGAACAACAGGAAAGCCTCGAGAAGCTTAGGGGCTTTCAGCACGGGTGTAGGGAGGAGGGATAGCGTTGATGATGTGGGCAGTCTTTCGAAGACTGAAATCTTGGTCACTGACAAATGTAACGGCCTGGGGAGCCGTGGCGAAGGCGGTTGCCTTTGAAGAGACCAAAGGCAAGTCGAGGGGTGCTGTGGTGGGCCGGGTAAGCTCTATAGTGAATCAAAAAAGTCAGTACTTGGCCTTCTCCAAGAAACGGTACATATAGCCGGCAATGGTGTGTAATGGCGTGCTATAACAATGTGTAGCGTCCCTGAACCCGACAGATGGGACAAAGGTACACGGGTGTAGACCGCAGCAGGCAGGTGTAAGTGCGTAGAAGGAACCAGCAGCCCTCGCAAACACGTAAAAACAGTGCACCCGACGCCCGGCTCACTAGAGCGAACAGCAACACTGCCACTCGATTACACTCGTGTACACCGTCGTTGTGGCCACTTTGGCCGATGGCCGATGAGCGGGTTTGGCCCTCGGGAGAAATGTGCCGTGGCACGGGCAATTTGGCGTGACAGTACGGACTGACTGCAACACTGGAGAAGCGGCCAGCGGCCAAAGCTAGACTAACCTGAGATCAAGAGTCCAGAGCGGTTGCAATGCAATTGACGATCAAAAGCGGGCAGTTGAGAAGACGGCCTCACTGTGGAAGATGCGGTTGGGCGGTCTGTGGAATTGTTGATGCCGGAGACAAAAATAAAACTGAGCGTCTTGTGTTGTGTGCAAACAAGGTTTTGTCACGGAGGGGCGGCAGCCAGGTTTTATTCCGGCACGCGCAAAACCACTTGCGCACATGTGCAGCCCGCTGCTTGCCCCAGCCCGAGTCAATCAGCGGGCCAGCATTCATGGGCCAAAGTCTGTCTGCGGGAGCTGGCAAAAGCTCCATGTCTCCAGCCCGGTGTCGTTTGGATTTTCGTCAATATCGGGACCGCTCCTGCTCTTCTGACTTCTTCTGGTGGCGCAGCTCCACCATGGCCGCCAAAATTTTCGCTGGTCCTCTTCGCTCACCCTCTGTTCTTGACTTTGGTCCCGGTTTTCGACTCCACAGTTGTCCTGTGCTGGCTGTCTTTGCCCACCCTGCGTGTCGATTTGCATGAATCCCTCTGCTCTGACTCCCAACTCCTGGCCAGCAGCGTCATTGCCGCCATGTCATTGCCATTGACAAATGAGCTTGCGAGTTGCTGTCTATACACCCGCCGACAGGCCATCCGGCCACCATTTCTAGTCCCAGTCCACCTCCCCCTGCAGCAAGACGAACCTCGAAGCCCAGCCAGTCTCCCACATTTCTGTCAGTTGAAGCTGTATCCAGTTACTCAAATCTATGCCAAGGAAAATGGAACAACAAACCAGCGAGTTCAGAACCGGCACACGCATACACCCACAGGAGAAAAATCCTGAAGATGATGTTGCAGCCAACAACCGCCCTTCCTAGGTAGGACACGACATCAAGACCTCACCTCGCCTCTGTACCTGCGCCTAAAACGATCCCTGAAACCCAGGCAGACACCACAGTTACCAAGCAGGCACTCGGCTTCTGCTTCCCGCGTTCAAACCCTATCAGATACCTGGCAATCAGGCTTTATTCTATTATATATTATGATTTATTGGTACGGAGTATATACTTTGTAATAGGTATATACATTTTACCATAAATTCCCTGCCTACGTAGGTATATATGGGGAGAGTCTAAATACCTGAGTCAATATTGACAGTAAACAATGGGATGAGCGCGCCTAGCAACAAAAGAATGAGCAGGCCAAGTAATTCACCAGTCAATACTACTATTATTCATTGGACGATCCACTCTTGGGCACAAATAGGCACACAGGTATTAGGCCATGTCAATATGATGGCTGCTCTGCCTAGACTCCCCAGTCCTCCCGCCTCACTCCCCTGCGCGAAAGGGCTCAACCTCAGCTAGCAGTAGTGGCCTCGAGTTTGCGTGATATGCTTTCGTTGCTGCACTCCGAGGCTGCTTAAGTTCCGATTTGTGTTTAACCATTGTTGCATGCAGGCTACATCATGCCGCCCTGATCAAATTTAAGATTGGGGAAATCGGCTATGCGAGCCGGACGCTTGGGCGCATTACCAACGCAGAACAAAGTCCATGAGGGACTTTTTTCGTCGTAGTGCAGGTGACTGAATTGTCTTGTCATCTTCCTCCATCCATGGACCGACAACAACAGCCTTGGGACATTGGTTGGTACCTTCAAGTTTTAAGCGAGACGGCACCTTCTAATCCGTTGAGCTTACGCGTTTTCATCCGTGCGAACGAGGCATACCAGTACAATGTTGTATCACTCACACCAGCTTACACTACATGGTGCCGGTTTTCCATGAAGATGTGTTGTTCTGAGGCTATAGCGTAAGATTGAAACTGGAGTCGTGTTTTCACGGACATCGTAGAGTCACATTGCCCTTTTGATGGGTCCAAAATCTGCGCACCACATGTCCGGGTCAAGGTCCACATAGTCCACGAAGCATTACCAGACAGTTATTAATGCCTCCAATGTTGCGCTATACATGCATACATACATACTACTACATAGGAGCTCACTAATAATACCCGCCTCGTCGTTCGTACTCGGCAGTGGAAGCACGCATGGCCGCCATTACTCACACCATCTCGGGACTCAACCGAATGATCGTCATTAGTTTCAAATCACCTCACGCTACGGCAGTGTTTCAATCACCGGCCCCTTAGCCTCATCTTGATCCCTTATTTCCGGGTGCCAAGCAGGTCTGCAGGCAGTTGCCCGATAACTACCTCCTGCAGCCTCGCGTTTAGAGGCTGAGCCGGCAAGTCTCATCTGGTGGTATCTAGTGACACATCGAATTCATGTAGGAGCCAGTCGACGCCAAACCCTACAACTCGTAGCAAAGTACTTGCCCAAGCCAGAGTCTATTCCGAACGTCTACTTGCCTCGTCTCACCATACGCAATTCACACCCCATATGTACTCAGCTCTTTAGTCCGGCAACCCAAGGCTCAAGGGCTCCGGCTCTGATAGAACGAGACAGCCCCATTTCAAATTCCCGTCTTCTCTCACTCTCCGAACCACCAATCCCTTCCCGAACAAGACACCTGATGCCTGCAGGCGCCGCGGTCATCTCGTTCTAAGCGTAAATGGAATGGCAGATCCTTCAAGCGTGAGCACGTATGAATTATGAAACGGTACGTCACTTTATTCTTGCGTTGCTCTGTGGTCCATCTGTCACTGTGAAAGTTGTCCTTTCGGCAGATGGATGTATCGTATCTGAACGCGTGAATGTCAACAAGTCAATGTCAGTCGAGGTAGCCGGTAAGGGCAAACAAAGTTTCGTTGAAGTATATTACATATTTGGAGATCGTCTATATATCGTCTTGCGTCTTGTCCGTATGCGTGTATGTATATGAGGGATAAAATCGTACACCTTTGTCGTATGTTATAGCGATGGCGTGCTTGCCCAATCGCTGTATCGTAAAGTCCACGGATTGTAGCATCGGGCAGTGCTTCCATAATCACCCATGCGGATGTTCAATGCATGCTTGTGCCCTAAAGCAGCCTCATTTCGGCTTGGAACTTCCGTGTTGCGAAATCATTCGCCAACTGCGACATTCATCTCCTGCGTCTTCCACGAATCATCCACCCATGACTGACGCTCGCCGAGGAAAGCCGTACGCTCCTCACCTCTTTCTATTGCGTCTACGAGATATTTCTGCGCAGCTTCCTTGACCTGGTCCTTTGACACATCCAGGAGTTGATACCTCTTCTTTTGTCTCATGTCCTCCGTGATGCCGGAGAGGAATTTGCCCATGCCCTCTTGGTTGACAGCCTTAGGTGCATCGACGGCCTGGAAGACTGAAATCTTGGCCTCCTCTAGATCACGATCCGACCATTCTTTATTGACGGCCCACCTGCCCGCATTTCGCATAATGCTCATGGTATTTTGGGGATTAGGGTCACGGTAAGAGTAGAAGCCAAACAGACCATCTAGCGGCTTGTACATGGCTCCACCACCGTAGGCTCCGCCCTTCTCGCGAATCTCGTGATGCAGGTACTTGTGGGTGAGGAGCTGTGAGAGTATTTGAAGCGGCGCGCCATCAGGCGCCGTGTAGGACACTGTCGGTACAGACAATCCTCCATAATATACTTGATAAGGTAGGGGGAAAAAAGTCTTGCGGTCAGTGGGGAGTCTCCGCGGCTCCGGGTTCTTCAAATCCGAAACACCTTGAGGGAGAGCCTTCATAAAGGACTGGAGGGAGTTAGAGTTTTGGGTTACGCTCTCGGTACCACAGGTGATTGCCGTTCGCATGTTGTCGCTTGACAGGGCAAACTGTTGGATTTGCTTCAATTTGCTGATGACGTCTTCAAACTGATCGGACTCTGGGCGCCCGGCTAGCCGAGTTACTAGTTTAACCTGGGAAAGACCGGCAACTTGTTGGCGTAGCCATGCGCTTCGTGTAATGCTTGATTCAGCATAGCCCACAGCAAAGCGATGGCCCGACGAGGCAATATCGTTAACAATGCCATCCGCGGAGGCTTGGAGCAGCTGTCTAATACGGAGGGCTGTCTCAGGAGCATCAAAATTCGTCTCTAGGACTAGCTTGTGGAGAATATCGAACATGACAGGGACATTTCGATCCAAGGCCATGCCAGTAAAAACGATGCCTTCGCTAGATGCACTGTAGTCGGTGGGTGATGGAGTGGAATGGTATCCCACAGAGACTCCGCCAGTGGTCAGCTTGATCAGGTCCTCGAGCTGCTCCATGGCCATATCCTTAGTTCCAAGGCGCATAATGCTATCCGTGAAGAGAGGAACAAGTTCTCTAAGATCGTCGGGTAAATTTTCCAAGGTATTGATGCCACGGAAATAGGTCAATCCATTCGTGGGTGCCTCATGCCATTGAATTGCTGTGCCATTTTGAACTTCGTCACGCACAACTACTGGCTCTTTCGCTCTTGGAATATCTTTCACGTGGACAGTCGGCAGACAGCTGAGATCTTCGGAATTGGTCTTATTTTGCTCGACAAGAAGCTCCTGCTCTTGCTGCTCAAACTTCTGTCGAGCCTTCTCCTCGCCCCCAGCGCTCTGAATAGCATCATCAATCCTGGAAGAAAGACGCTGCTGTTCTTCCCTTGCAAGGTCCTCTCCAAAAGTAATAGACGGTGCCATTGTGAAGATCATGGTATTGTCGTTAAGTAGGTACCTGTCAATAAGACCCTCGAGATAACCGCCTTCGGCCAGCTTCGCCCGGAATGCTGAGATGGTGTCGTTCCAGGCGAGAGAGTCAAACGGGTCGGTTCCATTGAACCACTTTGGCTTAAGTCTATTGAGCATAGAGAACCCAAAATTGGCGGTCTTGTGCTTCAGAGACAGCTCTAATTGGTGCAACGCCCCATCAATCTTAGTTTTGTCGAAGCCATTATCACGAGCCTGCTTCAATATTCCTTGGACTGTTTCCTTCAGCTTGGGAACATCGGATTCTTGGACTCCAGTCAGGCCAATGGAAAGAATTCCTCGCTTGGCAGAGCTATCATATCCCGCATTCGGGCTCCAGTCAGCTCCCATGCCAGTCTCGATTAGGCCGCGATAGAGAGGCGAGCCATAGCCATCCATCAGAAGGGTAGAGAGTAATGCGATGGAGAAAGACTCGACGACATCAGTAGTATCTCCAGTGATCCATGACACTGAAGTCTTATACTGACGATCAGGGTCGACAAGGGGATCCATGGGGCCCTTGAGTGTGACTTCGTAAGGGCCATCAAGGTCTATTGGTTGGTGAATTTCTTCGTCGATATTTTTCTTTGCAAACGCCTGCAATCTAGCATCTAACTCTTGCAAATGGTCAAACAAGGGCATGTCACCGTAGGTAAACAGCTTGGAGTTGCTAGGGTGGTAGTGGTTGGCGTGGAAATTTTTGAGCTGGTCATAAGTCAGGTCGGTAATCTTTTGAGGGTCGCCACCTGAGTTATTGATAGCCGGAAATATGTGATCCTGGAAACGAATGTAGAAGAGATACCCAGCATCCGACATTTGACCCTTCATTTCATTGTACACCACACCCTTAAACACCAGTTTCTTGCTCTCGGCAGTCTCTCCAAGAGGGTTCTCGGGCCCAATCCTCCACCCCTCTTGGGTGAAATCAGACTGTTTAAGCAGTGGATGCAAGGTAGAATCCAGATATACAGACATGAGATTCTTGAAGTCCTGCGCATTTGTGGTCGCAAACGGGTAAAAAGTGTGGTCGGAGGCTGTAAAGGCGTTCATGAAGTTGGAAAGAGTCCGGGGTAGCATCTTGAAAAAGGGATCGCGAATGGGATACTTGTTGCTACCGCATAGAGTCGTGTGCTCGAGAATATGCGGAACACCGGTGTCGTCCGGAGGGTTCGTCTTAAAGCCGATGGAGAAAACATTGTTGCTGTCTTCTCGAGCAATGTGCAGGTAGTCAGCACCAGTCTTATCGTGTTGCAGATGCAATGCCGTCAGTTCCAACTCAGGGACATGTTTGGAGCGCACAAGGGTGAAGCCATGAAGCTTGTCGCCTGGCTTGGGATATTGCGACAGCTCTGTAACAGCTTTGCGAGCTGCGTTGGCAGCATTTCGAAGCATGGTGGCCGGAGTCGCCAAGAAGTATGGATGGAGACGAATGGTCCTAATAATACAATAGTATACAGAAAGAGGTCGATCAGAAATTCAAACACACGCGCTGCATCCAGAACAGATGACTCACGGGTGTACCGGAGCAAAGTGTTGAGCTGGAATTGCTTGAATATTGACCAGAGACTTCGGATGTTGGCGAAGATGGTGACGGAGGCCCCCAGCCCCGAGGGCATAATAAAAGTTCCAAGGGATTGCCAGCCTTAGTCATACTTGACGCCACATGCAGAAGCTGGTTATTGGACTGAGAGCATGGTGCGCAGAGCCAGGTACTCGCTCAGCTGCAGACAATTGACGGCTTCAGCGGAACCTTCAGTGGAGCTCAAGACGGATTGCCAGCGAATGATGACCAGACATTTACTGTCGGTCCAGTACAGTGAGGCCAGGCCTGATAGTGTCATAACAGAGTCCCACAGGCTCACAGGTGTCCTGCCCCTAATGCACTAATGCCATTCCTCGATGCCCTTCTCGGCCTCAGTAAAAACCGATTTGAATACGCCCACGCAATCGACGTCGACATCCGTGCGAAGACTGCTCACTCGCCCGCAGTCTGCTCGCTCAACTCCTCTTAATCTGATCTCTCTCTGCAGCGCAAGTATCCGCATCTGTAAGTGATCATCCTTCTCAAAGCCCGCGTGTTTGCACGGCTTGATTGGGCTGCATGCAGGAGGCAGAGCACCCTCACATCACATCACCGCACAAGTTGCTAACCTGGCCATTCAGGTTACCGGCCTCCAGTTCTGACCATCGTCACGGTCGTCTCCCAACCAGAACGCACCGATTCTTTCGCCCCAACACATCCTCGCTTACCGGCTTGTCCCACCCGGCGAAATCTCGACGTCAACTCTAAGCCGCACCATTCTTTCTCAAAAACGGTCTCTGTCCCCCATGTTGCGACAATCGTGAAATCTTTTCGCCCCCTTGACCATCTTAGAGGCGCCAGCACCCCTCACACGTCATGCCTTCGGGTCAAGTAGAACCAGCATTGACTAACGGTCACGATGGCCATGTTCATTCCGCGCCTGTGCCGGGTAAGAAGGGGAAGGGGAAGAAAGCCATCGACTCGTCGGAAGCATCACGGCTGCTCCAGGCCCGTATCTCTCAGCTGGAGCAGGATGCCGCTGGAGAAAAAGACCAAGAACTCGAGATCGGTAGGTTTGAGCGAATACTTGCGCTTCAGGTCTCATGGGCCTCCACATCAAGGCCTTACCATGTCTCTCATTGCTAATCAGTCCCATCCGCCCATACAGAACGGGAAGTCAAAAGAGCCAACCGAGATTTGATGCAACAGGTCGCCAAAATGGACGATATGCAGAAAATTGAACACCTGACGAAACGCTCCAGTGAACTCCTGGCTGATATGCGACGCCTTGAGAAGGAGAACCAAAGGAACAAGAAGCGAGGCGATACTCTGCAAAAGGAGCGAGATAGCGGCCGAACCGAGCTTGGCAAGACAGTCGGGTTGAAGGAGAAGCTTGAAAAACTGTGTCGTGAGTTACAGCGGGACAACAATAAGATGAAGGTCAGAACACACGGCGAGCCATTTCGGACAGGGACCGACTGGAGACAATGTGCTAACATGTGGCGTGGAAAGAATGAGAACAAAGAACTCCAGACTACACAGAAGCGGAATAATGTTTCCTGGGATGAGAAATTCTCCACCGTTTTATCTAAATTAGAAGGCTACCAGGAAGAGAAAGACACCCCGCGAAAACAGGTGGTGGACATGGAAGTTGATGAACTGTGAGTATACAACAGGGGTGAGCTTCCTGAAGCTGTGTAATCTTGGCATTAATTGCGTGTTGTTGCAGATTCCGTGTCAGGTTCAAGTCTTTCATCGAACAATACGAACTGCGTGAGCTACATTTCCACTCCCTTATGCGAACGAAGGAACTGGAAGTTCAGTATCATCAGTCACGATATGAACGAGAGAAGAAAACCGCGGAGGCCGAGGCGAGCAAAGCGCGCCACCTGCAAGCCCAAGTACAAGCTTTTACCAAGACGGAAACTGAGCTTCGAAATCAGTTGAATACCTATGTTGAGAAGTTCAAACAGGTGGGAGATTCGCACGTGCCTCTGTCCTTTGAATCGGCTAACAACAGGGGCTCAAGGTTGAGGATACTCTGAACAATAGTAACGATTTGTTCTTGTCGTTTCGAAAGGAAATGGAAGACATGTCCAAGAAGGGCAAGCGACTGGAAAAGGAGAACGAAGCGCTTAAGAGACAGAAGGATGCAACGGCCGCTAACATCATCCGCATGGCTGAAGAACGTCAAGGGTGGAAGAAGCAAGTGGACTCTGCCGAGAAAAAAGTGAACAAACTCATGAGTATCATACAGCAGATGCAGCACCAGGGACGAAAGGGTCCTCCAGGACTAGCCAGCGTCATGGAAAACGCGTATTCAGAAAACCAAGGAGGAGCTGAGGGCGACGACGAGAGCGACTATTCAAACGAAGGCGAAGATGAAGAACTGAGCGAGTTCGATGACGATACTGAGGAAGAGCCTCAACCTGTGCAGAAACAGGCCGCGCCAGTGCCGTACGGACCAGAACGGCCACCAGCACCAACTCAGCAGCAAGCAACTGCAGCTACCAACGGACATTAGGATGGCATGTTGGAAATGCTGCGAGCGCCATTGACCGACAATCCGCAATTTGCCCCCATGCCGACGACTGAGCCTCTACGCTGTGTCCTTATGCAATCAAACCGCGCCCAGGACAGCCCGGAAACTCTCAGAGTTGAATTAGCGTTGCCAGTCAAGCTGTCGTCCGAGGCACCGAAAGTGGACGTCACCCTGATGCCGCTACGAGAGTATAAGGCCATCTTCCGTGCGGCTTAGAAAAGGCACAAGGGGACATTGTAGGCTATTATTATGCCGTGCTTGGATTTTGGTTTGACAGTATTACGGAGTATCGTATCATTGTATGTTTACGTAAAGAAGGCGGCGGTAGATGAGCTTCATTCCACTTCGAGTTCATGCCCGCCATGGTGTAGTCAGCTTGCTGCCTCGTTCGCCAACATTGAAGGCGTCCCTAGTGTATCAGACCTTCTCAGCGTATTAATGGGACAAATTAGCGCATTTCATCCATACAACGCTGAAGTGCATGAGTAAACTGTCTTGCATAATTTGCTCAATAACAATGGTGTCACATTACTTGCCGGGCAAATGTAACACCGCCCTGGCTCCTCCGTGCATGCCCACCCAAACGCAGCGTAGCCTAAAACTGAATGGACCAAATCGATAAGACAGGACACAGTTGTCAGATCCAGCCCTCCGCACATCGCGCGCGTGCTCTCTCATCCGCCCTCGCTCCCCTTCCATCATACCATCAATCCAATCTGGATTGTAGCTGTCGTCGCCAAAATGGATTTTCTCCAGGTAGGTTCACCAATTGATGCCATCACTAAATGCAACAGACTCAATCAATCCGCATCGAATCTCACTGCCCATCTTCCGCCCACATCACGTCATCGTAAACACGACTCGCTAACATCACAATCCAACACAGCGCCTCGCGCGGTACCTCGATCGCCCTCTCTTCCCTTGGAAGAAGCTCATCCTCGGCTTTTCCGTCGGTCAATACCTCTTTGAATCCTTCCTCACCCTTCGCCAATATCGCATTCTCCAACAGACCAAACCCCCCGCCGTGCTCTCCAAGGAAATCTCGCAAGAAACTTTTGACAAGTCTCAAGCCTACGGTCGCGCCAAAGCTCAGTTCGAAATCATCTCCGGCCTCTGGGCCCAGATCCAAAACGTTGCATTCATTCAACTCGATGTCCTCCCAAAGTTGTGGTCCTGGACGGGCGATTTACTCCTCAAATGGGCTCCCTCCAGATTCACTGGCGAAATTAGCCACTCCATCCTCTTTGTTCTCACCTTCATCGTCATCCAACAGTTCCTTTCACTCCCCACGCGCGTGTACAGCACTTTTGTGCTGGAGGAGAAGTTTGGTTTCAACAAGCAGACGCCAAAACTATTCATCACCGACATGATCAAGACGAATCTGTTGACGGTTGCCCTCGTGCCCCCTATTCTGGCCGCCTTTTTGAAGATTATCCAGAAGACCGGTAACCAGTTTGTGTTTTATCTTTGGGTCTTTTCTGCTGGCTTGCAGCTATTCACTACGACTGCGTACCCGATCTTTATCCAGCCCCTATTTAACAAATTGTCTCCTCTCGAGGAAGGCGAACTCAAGACCAAGGTTGAGGGGCTGGCTCTTTCTCACAAGTTTCCCCTACAAGAGCTCTTTGTCATTGATGGAAGCAAACGAAGCGCGCACTCGAATGCCTATTTCTACGGTTTGCCTTGGAAGAAGCACATTGTCATTTACGACACCTTGATTGAAAAGACGAAGACCGATGAAATCATTGCCATTCTTGCCCACGAACTCGGTCACTGGAAGCTCGGCCACACAACGCGTCTCTTTGGCATCGCTCAGGTAAGCACCCATCCTTCGTCATTATCGCTCGAAATTCAATCCACTGATCGTAATTCCAGGCCCATCTCCTTTATGTCTTCTCTCTGTTCTCTGTTTTCATCAACAACGTGTCCCTCTACAATGCGTTTGGCTTCCACACCACCCACCCCATCATTATCGGGTTCATTCTCTTCAGCGACGCCCTCTCCCCAATGGACACTGTCATCAAGCTGCTTCTCAACATCCTCTCTCGCAAATTCGAATTCGAGGCAGACGACTTCGCAAAGGGTCTGGGCTTCCGCTCGCAGCTGGCCTCTTCTCTAATCAAGCTGCACGCTCAGAACCTGAGCACCATGGACGCCGACTGGATGTATGCCAGCTATCACTTCTCGCATCCCCATCTGTCTGAGCGTCTCAAGGCCCTTGATTGGAAGTCAAAGGACTCGCTCACGAGTGAAAAGGATCGGGAGGGTGTTGCGACAGCTACTGGACGTGATGAGTTGTGAGGCCAAAAGTCTTGAATGAGAATGAATAGAGGATATCTTATGAGGCTGAATTTTAGATAGATGGGGCATCTATAATTGCTGAAGTCTGTGGTCTAGGGGTAGAATTAAAGGCTTGTGTACAGTAGAAGAGTTGGTCGGAAGAAAATACATCTAGTCTGTTTGCTACCTAGGTATCTTGCGAAAACTTGGCATGTCGTCCCAAGGGCTCTATTGCCGCATATTGTAAGTCTAGCCTAAGTACAATGTCTATGCCCAATTCGTGAGAACCGTGCTACTCTAATCTTCATCCGATTCGTCATCGTCGTCATATGAACCTTCCGAGCCTTCATCTTCTTCGTCTTCCTCCTCTTCCTCCTCTTCCTCTTCTTCTTCTTCGCCAGCTTTTAGGCCATAATCGTCATGAAAATAGCTCAATTCATGGGTCTGCACCTTGTATCCCATATCTTTAAAGGCGGTTTCCATATTCTACAACCTCGTTAGCCCATAAACTATAGTCTGGTGTTCTATTACGTCGCATGCACATACCTCAGACATTAACTTGGCGCAAGTAACCACTACATTGCTCTTCCCCGGTTCAAAACAAGGCAAAATAAACTCTTGCATAACACTCTTCATCTCGTCAACGGTGACATCCCGCACCTGCCGGAGCACGTCTTTGCTCCAATCCTTGGGAAGGCCACGTACGACGCTACGTACGAAATTTTGTTGAGCGGCACTCGGCATGGTCGCTTGCTCGTCGGCAAACATAACGACGATTTGGCTAATGGTTCCTTCGAGAAGATGCTTATCGATGGGCACTTCGCCGACGGCAATCTTGCGGATGGCGTCGCGGGATGCAGAAATGGCCTTGTAGGCGTCTGGGGAGCGATACACGCGATAGGACAGAAGGCCCGATTCGACGTTCCGTGAGAAGTAAGAGCCGTAGGCATACCCGGCTCCCCGGACAGCGTTCCAGAGAGGTCCTTCCACAGTCTCGAGGTAGCCGATTGCTACCATAATGGCGGGGAACTTGGGATCCGAGAGGGATGTGATGCTTGGTGCGGTGCTAACCGAGTACGAGCTATCGAGTGTAGTCATGGGCACAATGATGGCGCCGACGGAGCCTGGTTTGCGGCCTTCATCATTGAGGAGGTTTACCAACTTGGGAATGGGAACCATGGCTTCTTGGGTCGTTAAAGTTTCTGCGAGGGCGTTCCAGGTGGTGATGGGATTTTGAAGCTTGGACACATTTGCGGTGACGAGGAAGCGCATGTTTTGAAAGGTAAAAAGCGACTTGCGAATGGTGTTGAACCACTCGATGACCTTCTCTGGCTCACCCTTGAGGAGCTTCTTGAGGCGCTTCAGATAGACAGCCTTGACCAGGGTGCGCCTGGCTACGGCCAAGGATGTCTTATCCATGTGGATGGCGGTATCGATCTCTGCAGCCATTCCACGGCCGTCACGCTTAGCTTCAGGAATATCGGCGAGGGCCTTGGTGATGGCAGCCCCAAGACGCTGGGGATCAAAAACGGAGTCAAACATCATAGTTCGCAACCAATGGACTGCGGCAGAATACTTATCAGGCTCGACCTGGAAACCAATCATGAAACCGTCTGCATCACCAAGCGAGCGAGCAGATCCAATGTTATAGCCGATGCTGTCCCGCTCAAGTTCCATAACGACTTGCTCAAAGTCAACTTGCTTGCCATCTCGCAAGATGTGAGTGTTGAAGAAGTTGTCGCTAAATATGGACAAAAGTGGTTTCAACTCAAATGGTACTTGCGAAGTGCCCAGGTGAATGGTGATGTGAACAAAGTTGGTGGGCACATCCTCGAACTGGATGAAGAGTGGTAGTTTACCATCTGTGGCAGAGTCGATGACCTTCTGTGCCTGACCAATCCCCAAACCAATTGATTTGGCCCGTCCTGATCGTGCAGTATCAGACTCAATAAAATGGATCGATTCTGTGCCAGGGACACTCCACCGATCAATGACCTCGGCCGGGATGGGCTCGTCATTCTTCTTCTTAGCATTCTCAAGGCGCTTAGCTAACTTTTCTAGTCCCTCTGCCCCGAGCTCTTCTTTCCTCTTGGCGATTCTGGCCTCCTCATCAGCCTTCATTTTCTTGGCTAGTTCATGTGACGGTTTGCCGAGGATAGAAATATGGTGGGCGTGAGCCATCCACTTGCTCAAAAAAGCTCGCCATTGCTCGTCTGTCCACTTCTCCAGAACATCGTACTCACTAAGAGTCCCAAGCTCTTGAAGTGTCGAGCCGTCTCGCTTACCAAAAAGGTAATCAGTAATGATGTTGGTCGCATAGAACGACTCTGAGGTCTCTGCGTGGAATTTGACTTGACGCTTCTCTCGCTTGATGCATTCGAGCATGTATTCCATGTCAAGCGGCTTACTGGCAACCTCCTTCAGAAGCTCCATGAGCCGCTTTTCCACAAACTCGAGCTTTTCCGTTGCGACACCTGTCGGCTGAAGCCATATTACGGAGTTTGGTCGGGCTTCCCACCATTGTGTTACGGAGCTGGCAAGCTCTTCTTTCTCGACTAGCACGTTCTCCAGGACGGAAACTGACGAGCCGCACAAATATGTGAGCAGAATGTTGAGAGCAGAAGTTTCAATCAGATCGACACAGTTGGGCCCGAAGAACCCAATGAGAATCTCGCCAACCGATTCATCCTCCTCAGGAAATTCAGCGGTAGTAACAATCGACTCTTTCAGCGCGGGGGGTTGGGCGGTATCAAGCCAAGGTCTGCGGGCAAAAATAGGTCAGTGAGAGGCCACTTTTCCATCTTTTGGTCATTGGTTTCACGGTACTTGCCTGTCAAATTTGGCGTCCAAAGGCGGAATGTCGTCCTTGATGCTCTCCTCAAACTCATCCAAAATTTGCAACAAGTCGACGTGGTCAGTCTCGCCTACGATAACAAGACATAGATTACGTGGTTGATACATGTCACGGTGGAATTGGCGAATGCGCTCCGGTGTCAGCACACGCAATGCTTCAGTCATACCACCCGTCTCATAACGAAATCCCACATTTTCTGGGTATAGCAGACGACGGGCCTTGAGATCCATGATCTCGGGGCTGCGGAATTGGACAGCTTGCATCTCGGAGTAAACCACACCAGCATCGTTACCCTGGCCGTCAATATGCCAAACCTCGGTGGTGATTGCTTCATCGGTAATTGTAGGTAGGATAATGTGTTCCAGGTAGACGGGAAGAACCTGTGCAAATCCTTCCCAGCCTGCTGTCTCAAGGGTGTAAGCGGTATGGTCTGTTGCGGTCCAAGCATTTGTACCCGAGTATGCGCGAGAGGACAGCTTGTCCAGAAGGCCCTTGAACTGGTAGCTCTTGGAACCCATAAACACCAGATGCTCCAGAGTATGCGGAGCACCAGAGTCATCGAAAATCTCGGTGGCCAAGGTGAAGTATCCATTAATCTTGGGGCCTTGTCGATCGGCAACGACGACCTGCATGCCGCTTCGCTCCGACACATACTGGGTGATTGTGCATGGAGCATAGTCGGTCTTGAAGCTTTGAACCTTGCGGAACAAAGACTGCCGCGTTGTTGAAGGCATGGCGATGTGTACTGAGACAGAAACCAACTATCGACAGAGCCTTGGGGTGTTAGTAGATGCTTAGGCAAAGTTTGTCTGGTGATGTCTAGGGTGGCTCAGCACTGCTGGGTCTTTCAACTCAAACAGCATTTGAGCAAGAGTTGGAGAGTTGACAAAAACTATAACGGAACAAGAAGTATTTTCAAGAGAATGAAAGGCTATGATGAGGGACCGTTGGGCTGAGGTCAGGGGCGAGCGAAAAGAAAGCAAGTGATAAGCCATGACGTGGTTCGTCAGACTGAGTCAAGGAAGAAACTTTGAGGAGGGATGCTAGTTAACCAACTCACCACTCGACACACAGAATATAACTAGTGGATGGATATATTGCGAAGAAGGCCCACCCTTGGAGGCGAGAAGTTGTTTTTGTCACTGGATAATTTTTAGAAAGCCCAATTGCAAGGAGTTGGGTTTCGTTTGCGTCTGGAAAAGAGGCTTGAACTACCCCGCGGCTGGCTGCCTTGACGTTTTTCGAGCGGGTAGACACAAGACCAAAGCACTCAACCAACAAGATGCAGGGAGTAGAGCGGACGTCGGAGTTGGAGAAAAACGGACGGACCTCGACAATAACCAGCTCAACAGAAAGGAGGGTGTCAATGAGTCGTCAGGTGATGATTCCAGCCTGCAGATGGCTCAGGAAGCAACTACTCCCTAGACGATTCATGGACACCCCATTGTGCTGCAAGCCTGGTCGAGGCAGGCTGTGGGACGGTGGGGTTCAGCTGGCACGGCGCAGACTACCCGGCACATGTGCACCTTCCAACTTTCTCCAGAGGGCCTAGTCGCCTCACCACCGAGCTTCCAAGGTTGCCAGCTTGCACCTGCCGCCGACTGTACCTGGATACACATCCGCTACCCATCGCACTAGCTTCATGCCGTACCAAACATCTCCATCACCATGATACAGCGTCATTAGTTCCTTCTATTTCTCCTACACCCTTCCGACGATTGCATAACTCTGCTTCCCAGCTCTGGGCTCCTGAGGTAGAGAACATTCGCGACCGGCATAAACACCCTCCATCAGCCATGGCGGCGGCGGCTGAGCCACGACAATTTGGCGATGCTATTGTCGCCTTCTCTCTAGAACGGGTATTCCCCGAGGATGACACGTCTCTGCTACCCGTATCCGACATAGATCTCGAGCCTGCCATCCGCGCTCTAACTGGGGCTAAGGCCGACCTCGAAGTGTGCATTATCTATCACGCAGACGCAATGTGTACTATCTAACACGCTAGCAGACCGAAATACATACTATCAACGAGGAGACCAGAGATGATGTCAGTTCATGGGTGCAGAATGCCAAGACGCTGCAGGAAGACATTATTCGATCCAAGACCATTGCCAACGACATCATACGACAATCGGAGGCACCCGACGTGTCAGGAGAGGCAATTGAGGATGCCGAGGATAAGGCTCAATTTCTCAATCGTGAACTCCAATACAGCCGGCAGCTCCACGAGGTATTGAACAATATCAAAACGGCAAATCAGCTGCTGGGTCAGGTTGACACTGCAAGGAGTGAACGACGTGTCGTCGACTCCCTACATCTTCTTGAACGTGCGTCCATTTTCTGCCATGTTTACGTGTTGAGTGAGATACTGGTGAATATGATGCTAAGATGGTGCAGAATCTTGGACTGCCATCGACCGAATCGGTGTTAGCAAGTCCTGTAGGATTCTCAGACGCCTGGACCATCGAGCCTTCGAGCTCAAGTCGAGTGTTCATGAAGTATTCAATAATGTTTGGAAGGAATTGATTCAGTTTAATGTGGAGGAGAGAAGGGTGTCTATTCGTGAATCCCTACCTGGTACGTATCGACAAGCATACAATCATCTTTTCGTCGCCTTTCTTTGTTTTAACAGACCACAGAGGGCGGCATGACCCTGTCGGATGCAGTCATTGGTCTGAAAGCATACAAAGAGACGGATGAGCGTATGGAACAGCTCTGGCGAAACCTTGACGGATCTCTTATTTCTCCTCGAATGGACAAGACCAAACAACCCGCGCCTTCTGTTGCAGCCAAAGGGGACGAACTCAGCCTTACAGGAAGCAGTGACGGATCTGTGGCTGCGTTACTTTCGGATTTAGAGCTGGTCCTGGTTTTCGTTGCGAAAAAAGTGCCAATGGAGTTACTCGACAGTCTAGTCAACTTCATGATGCCTGATCTCATACCTCGGTTAATCCAGCAATGGCTCAACCCAGCAGTCCCGTCATCCCTGTCCGAGATTCCTATGTTTCAGAGTATTATTCAAGTCGCCCGAACATTCTGCACCGCTTTAGAGACAAATGGTTATACCGGCTTCGATGAGCTAAAGGAGTGGGTTTCCAAATCGCACATGACGTGGTTAGGACGATGCCGGGAATCTGCACTGGATAAGATTCGAACCAAGCTCTCCAATGGAATCGGCAAGCCTAAGCAAGTGGAAAAGATCGAGAAACACATGGTCACTGTGGCCGAGGGCAAAGAACTGGCTACGACTGGCGCCGGCGCCGCAGCAGATACGAATGACTGGGGTGCTGCCTGGGACGATGCATGGAATGATCAGACACAGGAGCCTGAACCACCCACACGGGCTAAAGAAGACGACGGCGCTGACGCGTGGGGCTGGGAGGATGACGACTCCCCCCAGCAGGCGGCTGGAGACGCGAAGGAGTCTGAGGTCGAAGACGATGCTGGAGCAGATGCTTGGGGCTGGGGTGATGAGGAAACATCTGCGGAGCCAGAAGTCTCGAAACCCTCACCAAAGAAGCAAAAGATGGAATCCTCACCAGAGAAGACGAGAGAGCTTGTTCTCAAGGAGACTTACTATATTTCGTGCATGCCAGAGCCCGTTTTGGGGCTGATAATGACAGTTCTCGAGGACGGCGCGGCCTTGACAGCGGACGGAGAGAAGTATCAACTAGTGGCGTCTACGGCTCCGGGCCTCTTCAGTTTGCCGACATTTGCATTGGCGTTATTCAGAGCCATCTCGCCCTACTACTACTCCCTCAATGTGGGCGGCAACATGTAGGGTACAAAACATAACTATGGCTATGATATTTTACTAATACTCGCAGGTATCTGTATAACGATGCCATGTATATTGCAGAACAGCTTACGAAGTTCTCCGAGGCTTGGAAAAAACGAGAGGACCTTGCACCACGAGCGCGAAACATGCTACGTCTTGAGAATGACATCAAGACGCTCCAAAATTTTGCCAACAGAAGCTACGCGAGTGAGATGAGTATTCAGAGAACAGTCCTACAGGACTTGGTTGGAAGTTCCCAGAGCATCATTCTCCAAGATGAACCAGAAGCAGCAATCGAATCTGGAATGGCACGCATCCGATACATGGCCACAACTTGGGAGAATATCCTGGCGCGATCAGTTTGGTCTCAAGCCATCGGCTCTCTTGTGGACGCACTCGCCAATCGCATAATCACAGACGTGCTAGACATGCCGTCTATAGGACAGGACGAAGCGTATAACATTGCTAACCTCATTGCTACGACGACATCGCTCGACGACTTGTTTCTCCCGAGCAAACTGAAAGGCACGGAACCAACTCGAAACGAAGCGGCCACCACAGATCAATATGCGCCTAATTGGCCGCGGTTAAAGTATCTTGGCGAAGTGTTGCAGAGCGATCTCAACGGCATAAGGGCCCTGTGGTGCGAGCAAAAGCTGAGCTACTATTTTACGGTGGATGAGATTGTGGATTTGATCAAGGCCAGTTTCGAAGAGAACCCTCGAACCAGGCAAACCATCAAGGAGATCCAAAACACACAATACCCCGCCGTTGATTTATGAGGCATGAAGATTTACAGTAGATTAATTCATAGCGTTGCCGATGCCCCTAACTTTGTTGCAACAATCTACTCATTTTCAATCATTGTCTCGCCCAACGAGAGAGGTCTTTCTATATTACGCGCTCATTGCATGAATGTATCCGATGTGCTACACAGTTGAGTACAAAAAAAAAAAACCAACAACCACCGAAATCACCTGCACAACACATCCAAGCTACCAGACTATCAATTCCCCGCGTTTTTCGCGTGTCAGAACCCCAGCCGCATGCACTGTTGTACATGTACACCCTCAACGCTCCTCATACCCAGTTCCTCCAAATCCCCAAGCCATGGTCAGCCGTCGGTAGTTTGAACGCATGTCCGTTCCCTGATTCGGCTCTGTCCTGAGAAGGGCCAAAAAAAAAAACCGGCATCGGCCCAACGGACCCACGCCGAGCTGTCAAAAGAAGAAAGCGCAGAGCCTGACAAAACGTTCCCCAGATTCGGGTACGGACACCCCGGCCAGCGGACAGGGGACTGCAGGCGAAGGGGGGGGACTATACATGAACAGAATTCTGTTTGGTTTTTGAAGCCCTCTTCTTTGATCCAGAGGCACTGTCTGTATTGGGCTTCATTGCACAGGGTTGATATATGACTCGTGGGGCTGGGGAAGGATGCGGACGGTCAACGGAATAGGGGTGGCCGAGAGATAGATGGTACATGTTGACCGATCGAGGGGCTGGGGAGGGGCGCAAAATATGAAAATTGACGACGGATGGAATTTTGGGGAAAGTTGCATTGGGCACTTGCAGGGCGTGGGAGGGAATAAAAAAACGCAAAAGTTTAGAGCTGGACGGGTGGTGGTGTTTTTTGTTTCTGCTGTGAGACTCTTGGTGACTTATGGGTCTTGTGTGGTGTTACGTAGCGCCTGGCGGGACAGTGCGGGTTTCTGTTTCTGCTTCTATTTCTGTTTGTGTTCCTGTTTCCTAGTTTGACAAGAAAGAAAAGAAGAGGAAAAGCTATTTTTGACAGAAACGACCGGGAAGCGAGTTGAATCCGGTATTGCGCTTGCTTTTTTAGCCATGTGTCGGTTCAATGTAGTCATGACACCTGCTTCGGCTACGCCGTTGGGGCGGCACCAATCGACGGTCAATGTTATAGATGGACGAGGGTGTTGGGCAATTGGGTAGAGGGATGGGAATCGGGTGAGACAATGGCGTCTGGGAAAGGTCAACTGCTTCTCGGCCGCTTCGTCTAGATACTACTCGCTGCCTGGGGAGGCGAAGCACGATTGCGGTGGTTCTTGGCCAAAGGCCTCCCGATGCGACGGCCAGGCGACGAGCTGCACGCCGCGGTGTCGTGGAGGTATGGGGACTCGCAGATTATGCGTCAATGGCGCGAGATGGTGTAGATTTGTTGCAGTCGGGGTTAGTGGGTGAGCGCGCTGTACCAAGGACCAGACAAGAAATGTGAGGGAGGCTTTGCCGTATACTAACTACTCTGTTTCATTGGTGCATGGTCGCGATGCCCGCCGACTGTGCGATACCAGGCGAGCAGTTGGGCTTCCGGTAGGCGCTGGGGCTTGAGTACTGTGAAGATGGGTTTCGCCTTGACGATATTTGCACTGGTGGTTTGGTGGTGCCGCTCATGTATTGCGGGATGCAGGGCGCAACTCACTCTCGGTACATGTTCACTCGTACGCACGCTCGAAACAATGAATGAGACTTTTTGCAATGGAACGGCCCTGAAAAGGCATTGCCTTTGGGGAAACCAGGGCACGAACACTACTCGGGTTTTTACTGAGCCAAAAGCGGCGGCGGCATCTTCGTCAACACCAGGAGAATAGGCGAAATGGACGCACAAACATGGCGCTTACCAGGCCAGATGAGCACTTGGATGGCTTCCTACATGTGTATCAAGCCAAAAGTTCATGTCTCACGTTACAGCGGCAAGGGCAGGATTCCATCTCGCTCTACAATCCGCCACGATACACCAGAATTACGTCTATTTACATGGTGACAACGCACGACTCTCTGCTTGGCAGCAAGTGCGTCGGCACGACAACCTCCATCATCAGCCATCATCAGCCCGTCACCAAAAACACGGACCAGACGCAAGCCATGACAGATAACTCTATTTGAACCACACACGTCACAGGTCTCACTCAGTATCATGCCTGTCACCGCAGGGCCTCGGGCTGAAAATTCCAGTGGCTCGACGCCATCGCCAGGCAGCACAGCCAAGGATCCTCCAGCGCAGCATCATCATGAGGCTACTGCAGCCAAGGCCCGATCACCAGCTCACATGCCTGCAGGCCGGTGCATCTAGCAAAAGACACCTGGCAGCTTGCATGGCCTAGCCAACAGAAGGCCCCCGAACGCCACCGAGGCACAGCACAATGCAGAGAGGGCGAGATGCTGGAGCCTGGATGTCTTCCACCCCCTTTGGCCGCTCTGTTCTCATTTTGACCCCGCGAAACGACAGCTCGTGTGCGTCTGGAACAACATGACCGCGAGAAGGGAGGGGTCCAGGCAGGCGGCGCATATCCCAGAGCTCCAGTGTTGACGTGATACAAAATCCGATTAAAACGATTGAGGGATACACAAGAGGCCCAATGTGTCTTGCCCGGATATACGTGCCTCTCATGCAAAAATCGATACGTGAGCTTTTCAGCTTCTGCCAAGGTTCCTTTCCAACGCTCACAAATCATCCGCATCGGCAGTAGTGTTGCAAAACTTGTGTCAGCAATGCGCCGCCTGTTGTCTGGCTCTTCAATATCTTGGAAACCCTGGCGGTCGTTGTATTAGGCCACCGGGCCTACAGGTGACAAGGATGGTGCGGTCTGCATACGCTGTGCGGTGCTGTTTGTTGTCAACCCGTCAAAACCATGGCAGAGAGGGTTAGGATAGTCTTGCCATGTCCCCGCGCAGACCAGAACTGATCACAAAGATGAGTTTCGGCTAACTCAAAGCAAGCCAGCCAGCAAAACGGGTCAGCAGCCCAGGCCTTTGTTTGGCTAACTCAGCACTTATTGTCCAGCCTTCTGATGACTTTGACCACCTGCCGTGACGAAAGTCTATACCGCGTGATGTTTGCTTATCAAGCATCCTTCTTTGTGCCGTGTAGGAGGGGGCCAACACCCGTCCCGACCGCGGAATGAGGCCTGCCTGTCTGCAAAGACCATGTCTGTTCTTTCCGGACACTGCAAACCATGGCGTTGGCGCTTGTGGCCCTATTTCCGTTTTAGAAGCCGGTGTAAGTACGGACTACTCAACAGGGGCATCCGTCTGAACGAGTCGAACCGGTCAGTGTCGACGTCAGGTGGCATATAGAAAAAAAGCAAAGACGGATCGACGGCAAAGCTGCGTTTGGCGGTGGGCACGGCATCCATTCACCGGAATTGGATATCGGACACAGATTTTTCATCCTGGCTGGCCCCTATTTGGTTCAGCCTGCAGCTTGTCCGACGCAACTGATGCGTGCTTGTATGTATGTATGTATGTATGTATATGTGTGATGGTGAGGCTGTCCACACACCAGAAGACGCCCCAAAAGCCTGACCTAGATTGTGAATAACACCCAGATACGGTGATGAGAGTACGGCCGCAATCCCAATCTTCATCTCTTGAAGGCATTGCCTTGACTAGAGGCCCCGCCCACCATCTCTGATGGCTGAGATGCAGTCATATTTTGCCTCGGCGAAACACGTTGAACAGACAGCCCTTCAGCCTTGGCTTTGCGGTCGCCAATCGACATGGAGTCGACAAAGGGCCCAATAGGGTTCAGCTGCAACCTCGCGCAGCAAACGACGTAATGATACCCACAACTAAACTCGGCCCCGGCTAAAGGTGGAAATTTTTGTCTGTCGCGAAGCATCGAGGCTGAAAAAGGGTCAATGTGTGCTCCTTCATCATGGTCCCATGGTCGTCCCATGATGTGCCTCTTGTCTGCCGCGGCATGTTACACAAAGGGTGCAAAACCGTCCAAGGACCGCACAGGCCATGGCCCGGAATAGTCAGGCTATCAGGTAAACCGACTGCCTACACCTAGGTATGGCACGCCTGAGGATGCGACGCAAGCTAGCAGGCAGCTCAGCATCCAAGACTGAACTGAATGATTTGATCTCTGTCTCACGCCCCCTCCTCCAACGTGCACAATCTAACATGTACAACCGTCGTGAGCGGGAGTTCCCTTGCCATCCCAGCAGCTCTGGCCCTTGACGGCGAGGGTGTGTTGAGGCGTGGTTGTGACGAGTCAAATATGCAAGACGGCACGTGGGGTGTTTGCACTGCGCTGAGGCACAGAAAACAAACACACAGGCAGCTACCGCAAACAAAGAAGAGCCGACGCATGCTAGGCACAGACGATTTCTGGCCATGATGCCGCAAAGTTGCAAAGGGCTCTCGGCTGTGGCGCATGATGCGCACGTAATTCCGAGTGAATTGACTTTGAGTGAATGGGTTGGGGGACCGCGTTGCAACGAGGCGGCCAACGCTGCAGCTGGACAAAAAGGTCACCGTCGAGATGCATTGGCCTCGGCATCAGCGGTTGTCACTTTTTCGCTCGTCTTGTCCTCGCTCGTCTTGTTCTTCTTCTTCTTCCTCCTCCTCCTCCTCCTCATGGCGACGAAAGCGTAAACCACGCTGAACGGATGGACCACCCCAAGTCATGCGCGTGTGCTCAACCTCGTGCCAATATTGGATGGGAGCCAGACAGTTCCCCCTCCTTCTGCCGTCATGGTCTGCAAGTGTGTCGCCGAGACTAGGTTGTATTCATACATAGACGAGTCCTCGGCCGTGGCTTTTGCTACCGAAGCTGTGGTCCGGGCCCAGGGGAGGGCATGATGAACAACAGCCATGCAATGCAAGCGTACGAAAAGGACTCCAGCCTGCAGTGCTGCGCGTGTGAAGAATAATCGAGCTTGTGTAGCCGTGACTGAAGCGGTTGCCGCTCTCTTGTGTGTGCCGTGAGTGAGTGCCGCAGGGAAAATGACATGGCATCGCATGACAAGTTTCCAAATGC